ACTATTAACAGAATTTTGAGTCACGTAATATTTTTTGGATATTAAATAACTTTTCAAAATATGTCAAAATTGCCGTTTTGACCCTATTGGTATTTTCAGGCGTTTGTAATTAGGGCATCTGTTTAAAGTATGCCATAATGTTGTTTGTTAGAATCTTACAAAACACGCATGGAGCTGTGATACTCGTAATTAACTGGGAAAAGAACACTATTTATGTATACCTTATGAGCTGGAAGAATAACTATGGACATTGTATTATTGGGAAATTCCTGTTTAAATTAATCATCGGGAAAATTACCTTGACTTTACATAAAATGACTTCTAAAATGTGATACTGTTAATTAAGGTAAAAATGAAACAAATTTTAAGAATGACCCTATTTATTACACTAGAAATAATATCATTTTTGCACATTGTGAAATTTCCTTTTTTATGTAACAGCTGCTTTTAGAATATCGCTACTTGCCAGATACTATATTCTAGAATTTTGGTTTTCTCTAAGTACATGTTTTTCCTTTTTATAGTGTTTAAAGGTTGATGTTTGTCATTTTGTTTGTCGTTTATTGTTCTAAGCTTTAGTCAGGTCGTTTGTTTTCTGTTATGAATGGTTTTACATCTCGGGGTCATTTCTAGGGTACTATACGGACTGGTCATTTATAATTGTTGATGGCCATACGGTGTTCTATTGTTGTACGTTCGTATCCTCGTACGTTGGTCTCTGGTGAATTGTTTTCTCATTGGCATTCACACCCACCTCCTTATTTCTGCATTGCTTACAATGATGCTAGTGACCCATAGGTTTCAAATTGTAAAATTTAAGTCATCATGTCAAAAGGTAAGGGTTACGATCACAACTTAGATGACCGTTATAAAATATCTGTGATGACAATATGATAGTCACAACTCCTTTCCTTGTTCAATTCAATCCTGAATATAAAGTGAGATTTATTACCGACTGTTGACATGTCATAATCTATACGAAGAGAAATGCAAGTAGCACAGGTTTTTCTCACTCTTCCAGATCTTGTTTATTTTACTTCCATTTTAACTGGATTTTGTATAATGTGATGTGATCTATGTTTTATGGGGTTATTTTAACAAAAGTGCTTTCTGTTTATGCTAATCAATTATTTTTGATAGAATTCCGTTGCATCTTCTAATATTCTCGAACACAATGTCAATTCAGTAAAGTAGTTTGCTACATTAAACCATAAAAAGAATCTAACCGCGTCAAAAGATTTTGAGTTAACTAGTCTTTAATGATTGACAATACCGTACAAGATAAAACCCTGCATGGATCTGTAGCTTAAAACATGACAACAGTAGGGTTCTGAAATTATTGAAATGATTCTTAACTTAATTCAAAGATTATAGCTATTTATACATTCTCATTATTGGTAAGTTAGGATTAAATTCTTCTAAGTTCATCATTTCACTCCTGTAATAGAGTTAGCTAATGATAAATATTTCAGAAACAACATTAATACAATTTATTTGACGTCATCACTTAAGAATGAAATTGTTCAATTAATGATTACATTTTAATCCCTGATACCAATTTCAGTGTGCATGACGCGTGCTACTACATTACCCTTCTTTAAATACGATTGAGACCAATTGCTTTTTAAACCTATAATAAATAAAACGTTAGGAATCCGCAAACCCTGAAGGGCATAAATAAAATACCAAACTGAAAACAGTCAGCTGTCAATTGTGCCTGCAAGAGTTAGATAACATCTGTCCTTTGAACCTCTTCCTAGTCTCATCCATAGCTTGAATTACATCTAGAGTTTGACAGTGAGGGTACGTGAAGAAATTAACTTTACGACAAGAGAGATACATTCAATTTTCCCCGTGTGAGCTTTCCATATTTATTTTTGCAACATTCCAGCAGCATTTGAAAATTAAGTATATATATCTTCAAGTTTATTGGATATTCAGAGCTTGCGTATGCTTGTCAGAGGTTTGCTGCTTACAAGATAGATACTAAATAAACTCATCATAGATACCAAGATTGAAATTTTGATATTGCGCCCGACGCGCGTTTTGTAAACCATTGAATCTTTAAAATGAAGATAAAGTAATTTTTTTCAACACTTAAATGAACACAGTTATGACTATCATCAAATGAGACCTATATTACTAGATTTTACTAATCATAAGCATTGTTGCCACTTGTAAAGCAGACTGTTTACCCTTCCGAAGCATCCGATTTTATCTAATTTATTGATTATGTTGGTGAGTATTAATAATCCTTAGTTTTCTGTGTAGAAGTTCTTAAGTCATAGAGTTTCATATCCATCTTCGACTCATCTTCTTACGAATCGTGCTTTGTACTTTTGTAATGCAAGTAATGCAAATGTAAATATTGATTATTTAGATTTAATTTTTCATTTACAAACTTCAATTTTTGTAGATTTAAGTTGTGATTTACTGCAATATGTAACAGCGTGATTCATTTAGCTGTTTGTTGTGTAAATATTGCTATACTACTGCAATATCATTACAATTAGTTCAATATCATTCATGCTTGTCAGATTTTCATAAAGACTATTTTATTCTTATTTTCTATCGACTAAAACATCAACTTCTTTTTTTTTAATTTTAAGTGTATTAACTTTTTTTAGATATATCAAAATTTTTTTTTGTCTACCGTTGCATTTGTTCAATTGAAAGATAGACTACATCTTTTCATTAAGCAGGGCTTTTTTCTACAAACTGTGAATCGTAGGTGCCTTGTTTTATATTTTGAAATGTTTTCATTGTGATGAACCAAAAACAATACACTGAAAATAACATCATCAAAATGCTGATTTTTTTTTATCGCCAACATATTTGTTGAGTTTGGATGACTGCTATTTTAAGTAAATGTCGGCATTGAAATGGGTACTTATTCTGCAATTCATCTTGTCGACATTTTTTTAGGAAATCATATGAAGCAGAATTCATACAAATCATACCAAAGACATGAAGAAGACAAAGTCATGCCAAATTGTATATTTTCTGTCAAATATATTGATAATTACATTTCACTCAATTACCCATATTTCAATGAGTGCTTTCATCTAATATATATCCAAGCAATGGTTGATTTAATGATGGTCGACTTGAAACTAGAATCTATGACACACGGGATGATTTCAGCTTCTGTATTGTCAACCTCCCATTTTCGATCAGTAACATAACCTCTGTCCTATCGTATGACGTTTATACGGAAGTCGGTACGTGTCATTGGGATTTTTTTTTAATTTTAACTCGTGATAATGATTTAGCAAACTCGTTATAACGACTTTGCTTACTCTTTATAACAAATTAACTAACTCGTTATAACGACTTAAGAACACCCCCCCCCCCCCCCCCCCCCCCCCCCCCAGATATCTTTGTCTCGATTTTTTTTCGCTTGTGTTTTTATTTATAGATTTTCAAATTTCGCATAAGTGCACATATACTAGAAACAGAAGTTGGAAGATGATCAATTGCAAAAGATAACTTTGAAGATGAAATACATTTTTTACTTAAATGTCGAAGCGCAAGTAATTTTAAGTTAATTCAGAACTTTAAGGGTTACAAATTTAAAGATATTTACTGAGAAATTTAAATTTGTCTGGCTTGTGAGAACGGAAGCGTACATGGACCTTGTCCTAGTTGCGTAATAACGCTAATGGTTACTAAAATGAGGTCTCTTAAATGCCTTATAGTGAAAGAAGACGCTTTATTTATATTCATAAATCAAATTTGAGTTCACAAACACTTAACTTTCAAAACACGTTTCATGTTATTGCTATTCTAGAAATTTCTGAAATTATTGTTCGTTAGCTTGATACAATTTTTTTCGAGAGTTCATTGTTTACTTGCTTGTTTCTGGTAACAGAAGGCTACTTAAAATAATATAATTTTAATGCTTTATAATTTGATTTATCGTAATAATTAAGCTGCCTTATTGCTTTTTATTGTAACAAGAATGTTATTTTTGATTAGCATTAATTTACCCAAAAACATTAAGTAAAATCAAATGCCCTATAAGACAGAACACTACCTAAAAACAACCAACACATTTTAATATTTCATAATTTGATATATGGATATGAATATACTGTCTTCATGCACTATAAGGCATTTAAGGGACCTTATTTCAGTTGCCATTAGCGTCATTGAGTAACTAAGACGAGGTCCATTTACGCTTTTGCACTCACGAGCCAGACAAATTTAGATTCATCAGTAAATGCTTTTAAATTTGGAACCCTTAAAGTTCTATATAATCTGAGCATTGCTTGCACTCTTCGACATTTAAGTAAATAATGTATTTCATCTTTAATGTCATTTTTGCAATTATTCATCTTCCAACTTCTATTTCTAGTTTATGAGCACTTAGTCGAAATTTACAAAATCTATAAATAAGAAAAAAAGCGAAAATAAATCAAGACAAAGATATGAGGGGTATGGTTAAGTCTTTATAACGAGTTACTAAGTCGTTATTACGAGTTAGCTAAACTAAGTCCTTATTGTGAGTTAGTTAAGTCGTTACAACGACTCAATAATACCCCCCTAATATCTGTGTCTTGATTTATTTTCGCTTGTGTTCACCTTAAAAAACAAAAACCGCGAATAATGTTAGTAGAAAGATCGACTGAAATCTACACTACATATATATAAATTGTACGGTCACCATTATGAATTGGTTGACGAATCGATCTGTCTGTGTCTCGACTAATTACGATATTTTTCTCAGTTTTAGATCTTTTAAAAGATACCAAAATAAGTCATCTGACAGGTTAATATACCGGTTGTGTCCTAGTCTAGTGTGATTGGTTGGAAAAACAGGAGATCGATGCTAGCAAGAGACCCTTACCTTGTCGACGAACCTGATCTTGCTACTATTGGAGACATTGTTATACCTCCATGTTCTGTTTTCGTCTTGATTTCTCATTGATTTGTATGTTCCAAATGGATTTATGACATTCAAAAATAAGTAAACTAATATTGCCATTAATCAAACCTACCACATGTGTTGTCCATGTACCTAGAACATTATCAGTGTTATTCGTTGTTGTTGGTCTTCGTTTGTACGGTTTTTTAGAGTTGTCTGTTTTACTGTCTACTATCTTTGGTCACATCTGGCTTATGCTTTCTAAATCAAATCATATTGTTTATCATAAGTAGTAAAAAATTTAATTGATCTTGAATTTTTATATATCAAACTGTCCATAATTATATGTTTGGGAGGTTTTATATATATATTTGTTAAACCTATTGGTGTGATATTAATTCATTAGTTGAAGGCCATTGTTTTACTGCGTCGAATTTACAAAATGAAAAGGCTTTCACCCATTGGGGGCCTTCGGCTCTTGTCTGCTCTATGGTCGGGTTGTTGTCTCTTTGACACATTCCCCATTTCCATTCTCAATTTTATTTTAATCTTTGATATCAACTTTATTGTTAAATCTATATTCTTACCTTTTAATCAAGTCTTAATTTTACCAGACAGAAAATAGATATGCGTATTATTTTGTCTACATAAGTCTCATATGTGAGACTCGAATCAAAAGAGGTGCAAGGCCAAATCAAATATTGCGAAGTTGAAGATCTAGAGAATTAATAAACAAAGACAATAAGCAGGATTTTTTTTCTTTTTCTTAACATTACTATTACAAGATTTGATGTATATTTAAAATTTTTAGGACATATGGGAATATGACGAATTTTAAAAGGGGATAATGTTTTTGGACATTTAAGAAATATTCTAAGTACTAGTATATTATATATCGGAAAAAAGTAGTGGAGGGTAACAAGAGGATATTGAAAACTCACAAGTCAAAATATACATGGCAGAAGTTTTCAACTATAAAGATATAAAATAAATGCAGCAAGGTCTTCTAGTCGGAAAATAGACAAGATATTACTATTGTTCATTCTTTATGAAATACTTTAGATGTCGTATTCATTATACTATTAGTTTTTCTATGTATAATAATATAGAAACTTGTTAATTATTCATTTCAACAGAGTCTTGAATAGGTTATATGTTTCTGCATGTATACTTTCTGAAATGTCGTCGCAGTATATGGAAAAGAAGTTACAGTTTTGATCAGTTTTGATCAGAGTTTAGAAAAAAAAGAAAATGTGATTAACAAGACGTTTTGGTGGAGACAATCGTCACATCAGTATCCATGTGTTTATATTCTATACCCTCAGAATTAAGGAAAAATTTGAATTTTAAGTTGCGATATTCAATTTATTTTCAGCCGCGTTTTACTTCAATTTGAAAACAAAGGTTTTTCAATTTTGTTTTCAAGCAAACCATTTTCATTTTTAAATGGAATCCCTTGTCTCTCTTTTGTGTTGCATTTTGTAGACTTCTTTTTATTTACATTTTCGACATGATGTCTCCAATCGTTTTGCAACCTATGGATTTTGATCACTACTATTATCATCATTACTTTATTTGTAGAGTTAGAAGGCACATTTTAAGTATAATAAAACTGAGAATGGAAATGGGGAATGTGTCAAAGAGACAACAACCCGACCATAGAGCAGACAACAGCCGAAGGCCACCAATGGGTCTTCAATGCAGCGAGAAACTCCCGCACCCGGAGGCGTCCTTCAGCTGGCCCCTGAACAAATATGTATACTAGTTCAGTGATAATGGACGTCATACTAAACTCCAAATTATACACAAGAAACTAAAATTAAAAATGATACAAGACTAACAAAGACCAGAGGCTCCTGACTTGGGACAGGCGCAAAAATGCGGCGGGGTTAAACATGTTTTTGGAGATCTCAACCCTCCCCCTATACCTCTAGCCAATGTAGAAAAAACAAACGCACAACAGTACGCACAGTAAAAGTCAGTTTAAGAGAAGTCCGAGTCCGATGTCAGAATAGGAAACAAAAGAAAATAAACAAAATGACAATAATACATAAATAACAACAGACTACTAGCAGTTACTGACATGCCAGCTCCAGACCTCAATTAAACATGTTTGTATTGACAATATCATCCAAATTTTGGTAGATTGCGGTAACCTATAGTTGTTAAGTTCTATGACATTTGGTCTCTGGTGGAGAATTGTCTCATTGGCAATTATACCACATCTTCTTATTTTCAGTTGTTTTGCACTTCTATATGCAACAACAAGATTTGTTAAGCTGTCAAACTGTTTGTATAGTGTAAATATGCATTATTTGCTTTCTTACAAGGATAGCATGACATGGTGGTCAATATATGCTTGTCATGTTTAAGTTTCATTAAAACCTCAAAAAGTTGATGATGTCCTTTATTCAATCCAAGCAATGATCAAATAATTTATAAATCGTCTTTTTTTTTTCAACACAAACTTATCCATGAATATTATGTTTGGACAGGTACTCTTTTATGTTTGTTTACTCATGTTTTAATATTATTTACTTAATTGAAGGTCAGTGTTTTATTGCATCGTATTTACAAAAGGAGCAGACTTTTAATCTTTTATATCAAACAAGTTAATATCGTTTCATGTATATTCTTACCTTTTCATTAAGTGTTTATCAAACGGTAACCCTCGTCGGAAAAAGGATTCTGTTCCACATTGTAGATATGTACCTGAATCGATGGGTTTAAAGATGAATGTTTGTATGATTAGATATATAACTATGTAAAGTCAAAAATGGATAAGGTTGTATGGCTTAATAAAATTTGAAATAAGGACTTTATAACACTGAGTACAATGTATCATAGTTTAAATAATGACTAAGCCTTTTTAGAAATGTTACGCATCAGCCTTCTTTTTTAAATGGCGTCCTAAATACAAAGTCAATGTATCATGTCAATTTTGATTGGTTTTTAAAACCGAAAATATAAAGCACATGTTTCGACAATAAATCTTGAAATAGTATGTTTGTTGTAACAAATATCCTAGCGAACTTGCCTTAAATAGTAAGTTGTCGAGTATGTGATGTATCTTTTTTATGAGCCTATTATGGTTGAAATCCCATTCATCAACAGAATAGTAATAACTTTAAGAGCAAACGGTTATTGTGAGGAATTTTAGAAAAATTATTACGTTTTTAGGATGTCGAACATTTCATATATATATTACACAGATTCCTGAAGCTTCTTTGGCCTTGAAAAATGCTTATACGCAAACTGCATTAGATTCTTTTAAGTCGGAAATAACACAAATACATTAGTGAGCAATTCAATTACTTATCCTACATCCTACATGTTATACTTTAGTTGTCATATGCACTTTTCAATTATTCATTTTAACAGTGAATTACAGATTTTTTGTTCCAAATGCATTTTTCTTAAAGCTGAACACGGTATACATTTCAAAACAAGTATTAACAAAAACATTAAACCTGACAAAACCAAACGCTCGACTATATCAACAAACGGAAAAACTGGAAAACATCCGACATATTCTTAACTTTGGAACAGGCATTTTCCGTCATAAATGTCTGTAAATAAAAAAAAAACAGGCGGCGTGTCGATTGTATTAATTTAGAATACGGATATTGTTTTGGAGATGTATCTCTCTCATGCATAGCTCTGATTCCTTGTACAGGTTTGGCCATAATTGTGATCCTTTTTGGTTAAGTCAACTCTTCAACGTTTATAATAATTTTGGATTATTTTCAAATATGTTGGCTTCGATCATCACTGAAGAGACATTAATTGTCGTAATGCGCATCAAGTACAGTACAATTGATACCGTTAATATTATTAGTGGAGGTAAGTTATGTACACTTTTAAACCAAAACTTACTGCAAGAAGTGTCTTCTTTTGAATCACCTATTTCTTATTTCATATAGATTTCGAAATTATGGAAAAAAGTAAAATAACAAAAATACCGAACTCCAATGGAAATTCAAAAAGGAAAGTCCATTATAAAATGGCAAAATCAAAACCTCAAACACATCTAACAAATGGCAAACAACTGTCATATTCCTGACTTGGTACAGGCATTTCTTTATGTAGAAAATGGTGGATTAAACCTGGTTAACCTTTGAATATTTAGTGTTCCTTGTATAATTATAATATAATTTATCGCAAAAAACACCAACAAATTACATTATACTCTTTTGAAATTTTTGAATTCTATATAAGTTACAAATACCTTTTCATGATTACTGTACTAAACTCAACATACACATTCTAACACTCTCAGCAAAATAAAATGGAACTCAAATATCTAAGATAATGATTATTTCTACCGTTAAACCAAGCATATTTGAGCCTTCAAATAGAGGGGGAGAGAATTGTTGCCAGAAAAGAACAACGTATAAGCAATCAAATTATCTGAAGTCTGTAAACGATTCGGGCGACAGAAGATCACCGATGTTAAAATCGTGTTAATCGAGTAAGAAGAGACAAATCCAGGTAACAAACGAAAACTATAGAATCGCATGAAATCCAAAAGGAGCCAGACATGGAATCGCCGACATGGTAAGCGTCCTCTGTTATGCAAGTATCACCGCACTTTAAAGCCGAAACACAGTCAAAAATTCACAATTGGGAATAGAACAAAAAGTAAGTTTCTAATAAATAGTTATACTAGTAAAAATTATAGTTTTATAAATAGTTTGTTTTCAGTTTCTATGTACTTCGTTTTTTTTTCACAAACGTGGAATTTTATTCAGTTTTGAAGAAAAAACTGTTTACGTTTTATAAAACAATTCAATTTTTATCAATATTACATTGGTATGTTTTTGTGTAATAACTGTCAGATAAAGACAATTTACAACTGAAAAAATGTCTTGTTATTGGCACTATGCAGAGAATAGTTTTATTTAAATACCTCGTTCGCTGTATTAAGTTACTTGAACTCTTTCAATTATCCTTAAAGAATGTTTGCATGAGAATAAAAACACATTTGAATACGATTCTCATTCATTCCATTTTTATCAACTTTCGACTTAGTACAGTAAAGCATTTGAAGTTCACATTTATCATGTAAAGATAGAACTGGTTTGTCTAAATTACGCTAGGGATTCATTTTACTGGTTTATTGATAGCTTCAAAGACAACCACTGAATCGAAATATAACGGAAGTTCCCGACCAGGTGATATTTCTCAAATATACGAGTTAGGTACCTTGTGTTATATTTAAGTATATAAGTATTTTTTTCAGAGACAAGTGCATGTGATGTTAAACTAGAATGAAATTTAATTGAAAATGTCTTCCCAAATTCAAACTACTTTTTGGTTTGAAGAAATCATCAAAACAAGTTAATTCTATTATTTATATTTTTAACAAAAATGCATAAAATTTGATATTTCAATTTGACAAATTATGTACAAAATGTACTTGTATGATGTATACAAAAATATACACCTGTTCCATCTGATGGGGTTTATACCTCTGTTTAAACATTACGTTCGTGAATGTTTACGCAATACGGACGTCATTAGCAGTGGTGCTCTCTTAACATAAACACTGCTCCAACAGCGTTTAGAGGAACGACGAAAAAATTCGACACAACGTAAGATTTACAATCACCATCATGAAGTGGATGACCGATATGATGTGTCGTTATCTAAAGTCAATAAGGACCTATTTTTGACTTCTTAGATCTTTAGATCAGTAATTGTACCGATTGTGTCATATTCCCGATTGTTAAATGTGACTTAGTGTGGATTCGCATGACGGGTGCTGCATGCATAGAAGGAGATGCTTACCACGTTGACGGGTATGCGTTTTTTAATAACCTATCCTTCTATCATTGTTGTTTTGTTTGTTCTTGTCTTAATATTGTCATTTCAAATATATAATTGACATTCGAAAATGCAATAATGATTCTAAACCAAACACAAAAAAAATATAAAGATAACTATATGAAACATTTTGTTTTCTCTATAAAAACTAAAGACCCTTTGAAAGGAATATGTTTTGATGTAAATACTGATCTTGGCTTGCAGGAATTATCAACGATAATTGATTATATCTTGAAAAAGGATCACTTAAAAGAATCAATATAATATTTTTAATATGAACTAACTCAATCATAGTTGTAAGATTAGAGGTATTTTTCGGACAACGATAATTTACCCGTAAATGTAGAAAGAAGAAAATATTTGTGTCGCAAAAGGTTTGTGTCAACCATCTATGTTGTAGCAATTCTAACTTTCTGAAGCAGTTACGACTATTCTATATTATCACCAGCAGCAGAAAAACACGTATTGGGAAAGATGTTTTTTTATAATTACTTTGGAATAATCAAATCATAGACAAAATACGTGATTAAAGTATATTCTAGTTAAATGAAGCTATCATGACGGTCATACTGGATTGATATTAGCATACAAAAATAACAATGGGTTGTCTTGATAAAAGCAATAACTTTTGTCCTATGACAGGTACACAATAATGAAATGAACGACCAATGGAATAATTGATTAAAGCGAATAATGACCTTACACGAAGAATGTTTATTTGTTAATACTATATTCTATTAATAAAATCGGTGGTTGCCTAGGTTAAAAGTCATGACCAGCCAGAAAACACAATTATTCGGTTTTTCCATCAAATTATTAAAGCTATCTAATTGCATGAATAGACTTAGCAGTTTCATAGCAAAAAAAATTGTTATTGTTCTTAAAAGGAAAATTAATGCAATTTCTCACCTCCAATGTTCATCGCTAGTTAAAGAAAATCATGGTATGTCCAATTACAATTCCGCAGCGATTTTTGGTTTGCTGGATGAGTTTGATTGAAAAGGACGAATAACGGGTCCATTGTAAGACTAATAGTCAAAGATATCAAATGTACACAAGTTAAGCCAGCAGGAAGGAACGAGACAGGGTCCGTCACAATTACGAAAAGAACAGGTGAAATAACAGATCAAACGACTATATTAGTATCTAATAACATATGTTCACGTAAACATGCATCTAGTGAGTTAAGCCAAAGACATACCGTATCAGCCAACCAATTGGTGATGGTAAATGAAAAAAATTGAGTGATGCCGATTTCAGTCTTTCTTCCTCATAACTGATGGAGCAGTTTTTTTTGTAAAGAGCACAAAAAACAAAGTTAAATTTGAGCAAAAAATGTGTAATCATAAGTGTATGTCGTAATTGAATTGTAAATATGTTTATAGAAATTATTATTGTATAGAAATGCAGTAATATTAAAATTTAAACTGGAAACTGAAATCAGACAGGAAATAACTTCAGGACAATTCTTCTGAAATACGTATGACACACTTCTGACCACCTACATTGTTAATATTTTATTCTTCTGACTAGCAAAGTATAAACCTGGTATTCTAAATGAGTTTTTGCTCATTGATTTATTTTTATTTTTATTTTTAGCGCCTGTCTGGGGAATTCAAACAAGGAAGTAAAATTAAAGTTCTTGTCCTTAGACATTTTATTAATCTAGTTGTTACGCGTTGACTTCTCAGCACGGAAGTTTCAAATTAAGTTAATAATACAACTGAGACAAGTACATTAGATTACATAAAAAAACACGACCATTTGCATGTTATAAACTATTATACGACTAAGCAATAATGAAATTGTTAATGTAAAAAATTAATGTTTATTTTTGTTGATTTTAATATGTTTAAATAAAATTTCTAATCAAACTGGTGTTAAAATTTTGAACTGCTAAACGTTTTCCGACCACAATCATTAATAAAGAACTAACGTTTAATTCCCCATCGAA